GGGTTTTTTATCATCCCTCACTTGGGTTTAGGGTTTAGGGGCTTAGGGTTTAGCGTTGAGGGTGTATAGGATTTGTGTATAGAAGGATGAATAAAGGGTAATACAACTTAAAAATCATCTCCGAACTTACCCCTGACCGTACATATACCAATATACATATATATATATATCCCTACAGACGGCAGGCTCCATTTCATGTTCCATTTTCTTTCCCATTTGACTGTCCAATAAATACCCTAAACCCCTAAACCCTGACCCCTAGACCCTAACCCCTAACCCCTAAACCCCTAAACCGCTAAACCCCTAAACCCCTAACCCCTAAACCCCTAAATCCTAACAGCTGCAGAATGTACCGAGCTCGGCACCATGACCAAAGGCTGCGACTTCGCCTCCTCCGGCGCCATGGTCAGGATCGGGTCAATGCGGCCCTGGTCCTGTGGGTGGGAGGGCCAGTATGAACAGCTATTAAACCCTGAAATTCCTTACCTGGGTTTTTGTTGAAATACATTTTTTTTTTTAAAAAAAAAGGATCTTTTTTGTTGATATTGGGCCCAGGTATCCATAAAAATGTAAAATGTTGTTCTACAAGCCCAGTTATTGGGACCCTAGCAAGTGTAGATAAAGGGACCTTAAAGATTTAAGTGGAAGTCCTGGGAATGAAAGGGTTGAAAGGGACTAGCGGCTCTGATTTAAGGTCTACAGGAGAGGGACTAGGAGGGTTAATGAATGGACGTCATAAATTCAGAAGGTCTGCGATGCTGCTGGGGGTGCCTGCGCTTAGGTGCTTTGAACAGGGCTTATAACTTCTAGGCACGCAAGGTTTCTTAGAGCATCTTAAGAGAGGCAAGATCACGAGCCTCCATAGCGTTTGGGTCTAGGTGCTGCTGCTGCTGGGTCGCCTATACTAGCCCATGAAATCCATGTTGGGGCATGGTTCGAACCCGGACACGGGGTCTTGCTGGCCGTCTGCTCAACAAACGTGTGGTTGCATCCACGAAATGCTGGGAGACTTCGTGGTTGCCGGTGCAAGATCTATTTTGAAGGTCGCAGCTTGTTGGGTTGTGTCCTCTGGGTTTGTATGTGACCGGTCTCTGTGCATGTGCCTCGATTTGGCTCGGTGCTTCTGACGTTGTTCTTGCTGCAAGCGGGTCTAATTAGTCGAGGAGGTGATGGTTTCGCCGGATCGGCATGGCAAGATCTATGATTCAAAGGCTAAGCCTTTTAATGCTGGCTCTCCCCTCAGGAATTTTGTCGGTATGCAAATCTACGTGCTGGCTTCTGAACGCGATTGTCCCTTTGGGAAGCCTTGTTACAATACGGACCCTAACTTTGAGAAGCTTCCATGATCCATGTCTTGCCACTCCTGGTCCTTCCGCAAGGCCAAGGATCCAAAACAAAAACACAGTCCTCCCGTTCTTTGATCGCTGAGCAGATTATGAAGCAAAACTAACCCCTACAGTGGTTCTATTGTCTCAGGGTGCATGCGGGGCTCCATGGGGTACCTAAGGGCTTCTAGGAAGCAGGTCCTGTGTGAAACTGAACGTGGTGACCTGCTCCACGTCAAAAACCTTGTCGTCGTCCCCGTACTCATTAACTAAAACCTCGGCTAGGCCGGCCAGGTGGCCAGTGCCGACACTGCAAGTGGTAGGTGTATAAGCTATGTAACGGTAAGCAGGACGAGCACAACCATTGTCGCAATATTGAAGCCCAGCTTTTACACCAATGACAACCATCCTGGTTACATTGCCCGTCTTGATGGCAACGGCGTCATGCAAGAGCACCATGTGAAGTAGCTGGGTGGAGGCGATGGCTGCCGGGTTCATATCTCTGGGGTACATCCCGTAGACTCAAGGTGGTTTGCCAAACTCAGAGCACCAAAACACTTGCAAGCAAGCTTCACCTATTCAAGACCAACCTTGACAGGTTCAAATGATCCCATCATACGGTTTTTCTTTCCGGTTCTGACGGGGCGTGCGCGATGCAAATATCTCTGAATCGGGCCTTGCTTGCATATAGGCTGTTACCCTTTTTCGCCTTACGCCACGCCAGCTTGGCAAAATCCTCATGAAATGAACTCGGCTCTATCTCTGTCAGCTAGGGCCAGGGAATTGGTAGCAGTCGCGGGCATTGGCATGAAACACTCGTATTAGAAGCTATCCCCGCAAGTCCGCGTTTTCCACTAAAAGCGAATCACCTACAGGGTAGTTTCCCTGCATGGGGGGACCACAATATATACCCCAATGAAAAACAACTCTGATTATGTAGGGGCCCCACAAGAAGAGGCACCTTTTCCTGGGAAACCCCACATGCTCATCCACAAAGTCAACCCGTAGCTTCCCTCCAACCCTCTGCTGGATTGCCGACAGGGGACTTAAATTAGGTTACCATAATATGGGCATATAGTAGTAATGTGGATTCCTTTTGTTGAAGGATGGACTGTGATCGGAAGCCCTGCAATGCGGTTTCCTGATATCAAAGTAGTGTGCAGAAAAAAGTTCTTTGACAGCAGCCCAGTCTGAGCCCCAGTGCGGTTGCGCCACCTTCTGACCGTGGGCCTCAATGGCCGCGATCTTGTCTAAGCCGCCAGGTGAGACCCACTCCTTGGTCTCCTTCGTGCTGCTCCTGGGACTCCAGGATGCTTTCTTGGTAACAACGGAATGCAACTTTCACTGCTAAGGATTGCCTCACAGGTCTGTTTCCTATGGCTAACTACGAAAAATGCTATAAAACTACAATCTGTACTATTCAATCTCACACGCGTCCCGGGTCTGCTTGATTTTTGGCTCCAGCGTATCCCTCAAAATCTTCACTACGGTTCAGGAGATTCAAGGGTGGCAACAGCAGATGTTTCGTGCGAGGAGTGAAGCGTTGAAGGGTTAGGCGGTCAAAGGGTAAGTTCTATTTGATCCGATCAAATGGCCAGGTAGGCTACGCTATACTCGCCAGACAGCATTAGCAATGAATTGTGAGCCATGGGCTTTACGCCTCGTTTCCACGTCCAGTACAGCTCATCCAGTACCTTTAGGTATTCATCAGGACGATGGTAAGCAAGGCAATCATGCTCAGGAAGCCTGCTCCCAACATATGCCCGGTGTCATGCACATGCCTGCCATCCCTCGCCAAGGACACAGCGACCCTCTGCGCTCACCAAAATTCCCGGAGAGCCTGACATTTGCCCGTGAAAGCCACACTTCGCAAGTTGCTTCCAAGTTGAGAACTACTTGCGTCACTAATTCTAGCTGCCGGAGGCATGTACAGCGTGGTAGGGAGTACATGGGAATTAGACGGCATTGTTTATCATCCCAGTTTAAATGTTAAGTGACATGTACTTTCTATTTGATTCCCCACAACCTCCTTTAATGATAGATTGACCAAAACCTCAGTAAAGGCTCCCAAACGCCAGTTGAACCTGGCATTCCCGACCAGCAGCACCGCAGACCTTGTCCGGATTTGGATGAGGGCTTAGGCTCTACGGGGGCTTGGGCTTCCGCTCTACTCCTAGGGCGTATAGAATTAAGGATTTGCCTTATGGAGATAGGGTCTTTAAGGACTGGGAGCAGGCCTCGTAGACGTCTGCAAGCAACGCCAGCTGCATATTTCTTGGCTCCACTGCACCTCAGACTCTGCAAGTGGCTTGCTCGCGCCCCATTTTCATAAGGTAGCTTTTTCAGGTTCCATGTGTTCATTGAACAAAGAACCTTCTGTCCAAGCCCCCTGCCTTTTTTGCTTGGACTCCCGCATCTTAAGAGGGGGGCAATGCCCCAAGCCAAACTGCTTTTACATCTCCCGAAGGAAAAGCTGGCAGCAGCAGCACAGAGCCTAGCCATGGGCACAGCTGAAATTGAATTTGATCATGGCTAGCACGGCTGTTGCTTAAGAGATGTGGCATTTACTGGTTGACGTATGAGTTTCTTGAAATGACGCCTCCGTAGTTCTTATGAGGCATCCCATATCATCTCGCATGGCTCCCGCACATCCTGAGTTGTCCGGGTGGCCTGCCAAGTTTTCGCAAAAACCTTCGTTAGGCTTTGCATGCCAAAGCACTTCTGGCGGTGGTAATGCCTGCTGGCATCATGGTCTCGTCGGCGCCCAGCCGCTCCACTCTTCCCGAGATCAGCAGCTTTCCTGGGCGCAAGCGTGTATTTTGGAAGGGATGTTCTTGCGAGAAGAAGGGTTTTGAGGAGTCTTGGAGCGGGCGTGGCAGTCTTCAACACGGTGCTAGATAGATTTGCGTTTTAGTGGTTTAATTGAAGGGCTTGTTCAAGCCTGTGAATGAGTGCTGGACATTACCCCCTCCCCTAACAATAAACCTCCCATCATCCCCCAGTAGAAAATACACCCAATATAACATCATCATGTGGGGGTTTCCCAAAACTAGGAGTATCATCTTGGGGGTCCCAATAATAAGGACCGTAGTATATTGGGGTCTATATGGGGCCTCCCCTTATTACCATCTCGGTGAAACGGTGAAGAATATTTGTGAACAGATATTTCAGGGGGTGGGTTTATTGTCAGGGGTGGGGATTAACACAAGACCAAAAAGGCACAGCGTCCCTTGAAGAAGTTGGGCTTGATGTTCTCCCCACTCTTCGAGATCCTGAGAATGTTTTATGAGCAGGTCTTGTAACCATAAAGACTTATATAGCTTATATAGGGTTTAGGGTTTAGGGAACAAGGACTTAAGGTTTAAGGAAAACGCAGTGTCCAAAAATCAGCCTCGACGCTGCTTTACATCGGGAACCTCGTCAGTGTCCCAGCCATAGAGGCAGAACCTTGCATGGCTTTTGTACCAACCTGTTGGGGGGCAGTAAGATCAGCAATGTAGTACGAGCAGTTTCCCTAAATAGGCGGACCCCAATTAAGTCCCAAAACGCCAGAATCCTTGTTCTGTGGTTTTTGGGAAACCCACGTATGGAGCTTGGGTTGGGTTGGGGATTCGCTCTAAGATTCGGGGCTGGTCAGGTACTGCTGGAGCTCCCGCCCTACAAAAGCGGACAGACCGCTATAGGCGCCATTATAGGGCTATACGAATATTCTATAAGAAAATGATGAAGATTTACTTGCCTGTTCCCACTTGAGCAACAGTGAGTGATAAGCCATTAGGTCGTGGTCGAAGCAACAAAACTAAATTGGATAAGCAATCCGCTTTCAGGCGCTGACTACCACTCACACACGAGAAAGCTCGACAGCTCCCAACGACTCAGCAGCACCCTCGAGCACCCCAGCATTCGTTGCAGGACTGGGAACCACCGCGCTGGCAGCGAGTTGTTCCTAGCATCAGATTCCCTGGGGATCCAACAATCTCAGTGTAGCAATTTCTTGAATGAACTGTGGGGACCAATGTCTTGCTGGCTTTTCGTAGAGAATAAGGGAATCTAATCCCTTACGTATCCCTATATAATGTATTCCGATATTTCCTACTAAGAACCAGTAAGATATATGCGTTGCTGATAGACTGAGAGCCCCAGGGACTGGCATCAGATGTCAGAGACGCGGTCTAGAGCACTGTAACTGAAACCTTCCATAAAGTAATCAGTACAAAAAAATGTAAGGGAGAATAGAATGGAAAAGAAAGTGGAAAATGAAACGGAAGCTACTATTTATGGTCTAGGGTTTAGAGTTCAGGGGCTGGGGATACTACCCCAAGACTGGAGAACGAAATGGAAAAGACAATGAAAACGAAACGGATGCTATTGCTTCCAACGTTTTTTACCTGCTGAGAAAAACACGTCCCAGTGAACCCTTTTTATCCGTCCCTTCAACTGAGGGCAATAGAAATGGTGACCCTGAGCCCTGCGTCTGCACCCCTTTCCAGGCTGGAATCCTAAGGAATATGGATCCTCTGGCATAGGAGCCTACCCAGGCAGCCTTTTTGTTTGTTGCAAATTTAAGGCGGCTCCGGGGAAGATTGCCCTAAACCCTGAACCCAAAACCCTTAATCCTTAGACCCTAAATCCGCAACCCTAAACCCAAAGCTCCTGAGCTCGCTGAAGGAGATCAGGCCTTGAGCTAGCCTCGGGTGGCTCTGGGAATTAGGTTTGGGGTTTCGGGTTCAAGGTTTAGGGCTTGGGGGTTTAGAGTTTGGGGTTTAAGGTTTGGGTTTAGTTTGTAGGGATATGTAAGGATATATAGATATACATATGAAGGTATATATATATAGAGATATATCCAGATATAGATGTAGGTGTAGATATAGAGGGTTCAGGGTTGGGTTTAGGGTGTAGGGTGGGTAAGGTTCCGAGTTTACAGAAATTGCGTAGGTTGATGTCTTGAGTTTTGTGCGTGTTTTGCGGCTTGCTCTTGGGCCTTATCCCTTTCTTTTGATTGCTAGCTCGAAGGTTCAAGATTTAGGCTCAAAGGCTTGCAGTTTGACGTTTGCGAGGCCTAAAGCTTTGGGTTCTAGAGTTTGAGGTGTAGGTTGTTCGGGGTTCAGGTCCGCCTTCTTACACCCCAGAATGTTCTATTCTATGCCATTCTATGCAAACTCCAAGAATATGAGCCTTGTTTTACTTCGAAGCCCTCATCTACCTGTTTTCCAAAGGGCTTGAAGAGATCTGCGGAATGAAGTCCGGGAGCGCCCCGAAGGGCCCACCCGGGGGCCCAGGGGTCTGCGATTTAAACTAAACAAGGCTAGAAACAGCGAGTATAGGCGGATCATGTACCGAGTCTCCATTATTTAAATGTACGGGTTGCTATAGTAATTGGGTTCCTCGTGCTACTTTTGCCAAGCTGAGAGCAATGATGAAAACAAAGTTCCATATGACAAAACACAAGTGAAACCAGGAATCTAGAGCATGGTGCAATGGCTTGTGTATGCTTTAGCTACAGTCCGCGTATTTGCTACCTAGGCTGGAGGGATTTGCGAAAAGCTGCGGAAGGTCCTGATGTCCATTGGAAGCTCCAAAGTTGGCCTTCAGACTTTTGGAATCAAGCCTCTTGGGTGTTATTCCATGTTGGACGTCATGAATGTGTGCAGATTATGAGGTTCGTGGGTGAACCCACGGAGCACGCTGACACATCTTGCCCACGGCATGCTCTGAAAATTTTGGGCACGCGCGAAGCTGACACATTATCACAATCACCATCATCATAGCTTCGCTGGCTCATCTGTCCTGCAATGGTACAGGTTTGGCTTCTGCGTGTTCCAGCACTTGACAACACACCTTGGGTACCAAATTCCCATTGCCCACGCTGAATCCATTGCAACCATGGCCATGTATCTCTATCAACCACCCTCTTTACAGATCAAAATATCACACGAATTCCCAAGGCCCAGCTACCCAGACCCCAAAACTGGTGACCTGGCAAGGGCAGGCGGCAGAGCGTCTGGGGTCATCGTTATCGCAGAGCCCCCACTCCAGAGCTTTATGAGGATTGTGTCCTGCCACAGGGGCTCAGAACACAAAAAGCAGCTCAGATGGTTGTTGCTTCTCACTCTACCCCTGTCCTTCATTTGCAATAGCTTACTGACACCAAAGCACGACATGGAACTTTGCAAGTCTCATGCCCCCCCCCCTTTCTGTGGGATGGCATTGGCTCACAAGTTCTCATGCTCCATGCTCCAAAATTCCTTGGTGCAAACCGCGCAGTCACTTCAAGATGCCCTCTTCGCCTTAAAGCTTCCCCAATGCCTGCTTTTTGCATGCATGCAACCAGGAATGACATGCACTGTTCATAAAGTCTACCCTCACTGGAACTTTGGCAGTTTAGCATCTTCGCTACCCACCGTTGTGGCCAAAATGACTAAGGTGGTCAGGAATTTGCTAGCTTTAAGTGAAAATCACCTCTACGAAAAAGGCTCCTCGTAAACGGGTGTCTGCACCGGTATTCGGGCACACTCGTTCCAAGTGTACCTGGGCAAGTCATCGTAGGGTTTAGAGTGCCGGATTTGTATATAGAGCAGAGCCATGGGAAAGAACGTTGGCCCTTATTGGTTATGCGAGGTTTAAGGGGTATCGTTGCGGGTTGGCCCCTATAGGCTTCAGCCCCAAAAGTATGATTTTGAACATCATGACCAGCCTAAGACATGTTGCCTCTTCCATAGATTTACTCATATGGGGAGTTCCCAAAATCAGGGGTATCTTTTTTGGGGGCCCCCAAATAAGGACTATAGCACATTGGGATCTAGATAGGGGCTCCCCTTTCGAGGGAAACTACCATATAGCCAGGGCGTCGCGTTAGATGTTGGGGTTGGGGCTTGGAGCTGTCAGGCGTGAAGGCATGGCTTTGGAATTTGCAAGCTAGCCATGAATATCGGGACAACAGTGGACAACACCGTCTGATGGGATCTTGTTGTCGCTCTGTTTATGGGAGTCGTATGGGATTATCTAGGTGGTTTAGGGCGTCAATGCAGGCCTTGCCTGTGGAACTGCATGGCTGTTTGCCTGAAGACCTGGTTTGCCTCACATCCTTCCACTGGTTCCACTGCAGCTCCCCACGTCAAGCGTGCAGGATCTCAGCGTGCAAGACTTAAGCCTGCCCATGTGCTTCAGCGCAAGAATCCAAACTCCTGTCTGGGATTGGCAGTGGGCAGCGAGAGGGAACGCCAAGATCCAGAGCCTTACTCAAGCTGTGCGAAGATTTGGTAGTTTCCCAAAATAAGGGGACCCCCAATATAGACCCCAAAATGCTACAATCCTTATTATGGGGACCCCCAATAAGGTACCCATAATTTTGGGAAACTCCCATTTCTATATTGACCCTGCCGTGGCCACTCCACAAGCCCAGGCACTGCTCCACGTCGTATGCGGGAGTGGTACGCACACCTCTGCACTACTGCATTGGACAACTGAAAATTCCTGCTAGCCTAATGCCTCAACCCTAAGTCCTACAGCCTCAGCCAGCTTTCTCAAGATCTTGTCTCCCTTCATGTCATGACACCTGTTCTTGATTTTGGGCTTTTCCTGGTGCGATTACAAATGAGCATGTCAAAAGATAGCCCGTTATTACTCCAAACCATTAAACTTGGGCTGTCTCAAATGACGGCTGCCTCGCTGGTCCCTCATGCAGGCATCACCTTGTCCCGTGGGGGCATCTAAGCTATAGTCTAAACTCCTTAAAGGGTGTTATATAGGGGATTATATAGGGGACTACTATAGGGGTTATTCAGGGGGATACTAGGAGTTTAGACTATAGCTCATCTAAGTTGAGGCAGGCAGCATGCACCGGCAAACTCGACCGTTACGAACGGGTTGGGATTGTACCCGCCGATCTTGGCCAAATTCCTTACTTACGGATTCTTTAGGTGGACCCCCCAACCAGTAATAGTGACTATAAGCAATCATAAGGATTATATTAGGGTCCTCTTATATTCCCATGATACCACAGTTACAGGGCATGGGATCATCCTAAAACATCCTACAGATCTGCTGCCAGGAAAGTCTTAGCCGAAGGAGCGCTGCAGGCGATAACACCCAAGTGAAACCCCTCACATATAGTCCCCCTTAAGTAGATAGAATAAGGGGTTATATTGGGGTAATGGAAAAGAAAATGGAAACTACTATTTAGGGTTTAGTTAGGGTTTAGGCCCCAATTTGCCTGTACCTTTGGAGGTCTCTGCCTAGCAATGGGTTAGGACTAACTACTAAGCTGGAGGACCCTGCCCAAAGCTGGTATGTGCTCTGATGCTATACCCTCTGCCGGGCCTGAATGCACTTTTCACATGGTCTTTTTTGAGCCGCAAACGCTGTCAAGGTCTCGACTCAGAAGTACAAGCAAAGGAGTATAAGTCATGGTCGGGACACCACGCCTTAGCCAAGCATCTCCGCTCTGTAGATGTTGACGAGGACATGATACCTGAGCCAGAACGTGCTTCAAGTTGTGGCCATGTCCTCATGGAAATTGCAAAATAGTGGGAGCCAGATCTATCCCAAATAAAGCGCTCATGGCTCTGAGATATCACTCGACTTGCTGGCTCTCACCACGCTAAAGATGTGGATCTGCTGATGTCTCCCGGACAATAGCGCCTCAACATGAAACGTTGCTAACATAGGGTTAGCCATCTAGCCTTTAGCATTTAACCTGGTGCAGTTAGAGACTTGACACTAGATGGTCAACTTTCGATGTAAGTGCTTTGAACCTGTCTTCTGAATGATGATGCGCTGCATGCGCCATATTGACTGGGTAGCTGTTAAGGAACTTTTTGCAAATTACTATCTCCTATGTACGTAACAGCAGGCCAGTTCAGGAGCATGCCATGGCTCCCAAGAAAGCACTCCAACAAGCAAGCAATGCCACACAGTAGACTCAGTAGACCTATGGGTACCTGAATTAACAGCAGATGGTAGTTGTTCAAAAGCCTAGTTACCCAGACATAATGGGTTACTTTAGATCGTCGTAGGAAATTAGGGGAAAATAGATTTTACTTATGAACTACCTCTCTCCAAAATGGCCATAACGTTGGCTCAAGGACCATTAGAACAACCCACCCGCGAAACAGCTTTTTGAGCTTGTATGCCCTGAACCCTGAGCTTGTGTCCAAGGCCAACCCGAGCAAAACCACAGCAACATCAGATCCACCAAGCAGCACCCAGCCCCCTTAAGGATGTCAGACAACTTGAGGACTTTTGTGTAGACCGCTGGTAATTAGTCCTCCATTTCCGGGAAGTCCTGTGTTTTGATGGGGTAAAGACGTGCATGCATCAAGACTGTTGCTGCTTCATGAATCTCTGGCACGTGCTAGTCAAAATGACACACTACCCAGAGTACTATCACGTACTCTGTCTATGATCTCACATAGTCGCACTACCATGTAGCCTCTCTACCTGAGGAGTGGCACCTGTATATCCCTACTCTACATGAAGCGGAGAAACAACTCGGGTACTGCCCCCACCCTGTAACGGTTTAGATTAGGCGTCATATCAATGGCTATATATAAATGCAGTATAAGTATTATCCGACTGCTACAGAGTGGGGGCAGTACCCAAGAAACGACTGTACTTACCTTGGCTTAGCTAGGAATGAAGGAATGGATCCTTACTTATAATAGTCCCTATAAACCCATTATTGTAGTTTCCATGTTCTTTTCCATTCCTTCTTTCCCTGCTAACCAAAGGTAAGTGTAAGAGACGGTAGTCTTCAAAACAGGAGGAGAAGGCCAGTGGCGACTTTCCCGCTTCGCCAGTGTCTGCAGAAGCTCCCAGCACCGCTTTGCTCAAGTCCTGGCAGGACTATTATGACTTTTTGGTTTACTCTTTAAACGTCTGGGCCGTCTAGGCGCTTAGGGCTGGCAAAGTTGGGATTTGTAGGTATATGCCGGTATACGCCATTTCTTCTCCACTGCTTTGGAGCCAAGAGGTTTGGTGTTTAGGACTAGGATGGATGTTGAAAGATCTCCGGAATCGAGACATCCCCTGCATGTCAGGAGGGATGGCCCCAACCCCGCTGCAAACACCGGCTCATTGTTTGCACTGTGACGGCACCACCCCCGAACATCATCTTGACATAAATCCCGACAAAGAATGCAAAACGCATGGTGTCTCCATAGTATATATGCATCAGTCGAACTCTTCCGCCAAGGGGGCGCTGATTTCTTAACAACAGGAAACCCCCCTTCTCATGCATGAATTCATACATGAGAACGATTTGCCAAACAGACGGCCCGTGACATTTGACAACCCTCAAAGTTCCTTTTTCCGACTGGTGTGGCCCCCGTTCACGTGCTCAAACCTCCCTAAACCCTAAACCCTAACCCCATTGGAACAGCTGAGTCAGAAGCCTGAAGCCCTGGACATGAAGCCCCCAAACCCTGAACCTCAGACCCCAAACCCAAATCCAAACCTTAACCCTCGGCCCTGAACCTTCACACTGAAACCCTGGACCCTTTCAGACTTACCAACCGAAAATCTTCGACCTTGAAACAAAAACCCTCAAATGTTGTCCCGGACCATTCCAGTACCCTTAATTGGGCTATAGGCCCACAATAACGGGTATTTAAGCCTGAACACAGGGCAGTTGGAGGGTCTAGGGTTGTGGGATATACTGTAATATACTATCAACTATACTACAATATACTATAAGAAATTGCAATATAGTTACTGTACTTTAGAACATACTGTAACAGACCCAGCATCCTCCAGGTCTTCAGCAGCCTCGCCCTCCTCCTTCACTTCCTCGCCTGTTGCAGGGGAGCATTGTCAGTGTGCTTGCAGTTTTGTTTTAGGGCAAATGCTACTGCTACTGCCTATTCTACATGGGGGTGTCCCAAAATTAAGTCACCTTTTGGGGGTCCCCATAATAAGGATTATAATCTTTGGGGGTCTAGATTATTGAAACTACCACATAAACACCCTACACAAACCCAGATTCCATTTAAGTTTCCGTGTTCTTTTCAGACTGATCGGCCCTTCTCACAGTAATATCCCTGAACCCAAGCCGCAATAGTAGCTTGCATTTTCTTTCTCCGTTCCCCCCAATACGACCCCAATACAATCCCATGCAATCTCCTCTATGGAAACTACTACCTCGTTAATATCCAACAATGGCCCCCGCCTTGGGGCGCAGACTCGCCCGGCTTAAGGCAGAAGACCGTGAGGGTGATCATGCCTCCCAAGGATTGGGAAATACCCTATATATGTAACACGATTTAGGGTTCAGGGCTTGGGGATTCATACACACACGCACATGTGTACATATTATGAATACACATATACAGATATTTAGGATTCTTGGCGTAGGGTTTGGGGTTTACGGCTCACTTCCTGGTGGTTAGTAGGGAGCGATGGAAAAGATAATGGAATGAAGGCCTAGCCTAGCGTGCAGGAAGGTGTTGTATTTAGCTTACTGGTTCCTGAGGACTGGAAAAGGAAACGGAAAACCAAATGGAAACTGAAAAAGAAACTCGGGTCTTCATAGGGATATATGGGGTCACGGGTTGAGGGCTGACATACTTGTGTCCAGTACGAAGGAAGGAATGGCAAGGAAAATGGAGGCCTTTATGCGTGTGTATATGTGTCGCTAGGATCGAAATTACAGGGCGGAAGCTACTAAAATGTTAGAAGCTAATGTTTTACTTGGTTGGCCTTTGGAACCCTTGGAAGAATATTAGTATAAAGAGTCTTTATCCCAAAGACCAACCCAGTTTAGAGTGGTAAAAGCCGTGTCGGCCCAGCGGCTTGCCCATGGCTTCTTGGAAATGCAGGAATGGGTTCTGGAACAACTCTGGGGGATAGTATAGAGCTACCGCAGGGATCCCGTCCTCCGTCCCTACTGACCACCTGTAAGCTTAGGATGCCTGTGAATATGGGTATCTCTTCTAGCTGTTATCTTGGTTTTTCCTGCTGGTCTTGGAGGCTTCGGTGCTTTTATGAGTGCAGTGTTTCATCTGGTTCGGGGTTTTGATGTTGAGGATGTTGCTAAATACGGGCCCAGGGCGTTCGGGCAGAGGGCTTCACAGTTGAGGGGTTAAAGTTCATTCACAGAAGTGCTGCCCGAAATTCAGCGCCCGGTACAGCTTAAGAAAAGCAGCGGTGTATCTGGTACAAGCCGTCCTGCGTCAACGCAATTGGACCTCACAATCCCATTCACATCTAACTCTTGCGAAGAACCGGTCGGGTTGTGGGCTATTGGGGTGTGTTCCCTGGTTTCATGTGAATGAAGGGTTGGAGGTGTAGTTGATGTTGAATTGGTTTGCAGACTTGTTTTTTGGCGTAAACCCCTGAAAACAACACGACTCCCAGCACCAACTAGATCTACGTCAGGGCTGTGCACCGAATCTTGGCAGGAGAAGCTAGTCTTCGGGCAGCGCTATCACATGTCTGCACTTATTGCGCAGGAAGCGGCTGCAATGTTCCCAGGACTTTTCGACTGCTACTCAAAGGCAACTGGGACGCATGACACGAATATCAGGGGTCAGCACTTACTGATTACAGCGAGGTCCAAGAAGTTGGCGCGCCTGTTGCGGCAGTCTCACCCTCCTTCCGAAGAGGAAGCGACTTCTTCATGTAGACGTGGCCTTGTGTCGCAGTGTAAGAAGCTTGGCCCACGGAAAGCTCAGTGAACTCTCTTATGCCACGTAAGGGCTAGCAGCAGGACAAGGGGCTAACATACTCTACCTGAATGGCTGAGTGGCAAGAGATGCGTCGCAGGCCCAAGCAACAACCTGACATAACCTGACATACGCGCTATAGTCTACACTCCTAGTATCCCCCTTAATAGCCCCTACAGCCTACAGCAGTTCCCTTTTCTGATCCCTTGCATAACCACCCATTGGAGAAGTTTAGATTATGGCGCAGAAGTGTTAATTACTTTGTACACATGTGCACACGGCCTGTCCGCGCATTGACACTCTTGAGTTGGAGTGAAGCTTTGCCGATTTGGTAGTTTCGGGTAAACCAGTTCCTCGGTTCCAGGCCAAACGCGGGCGCAATTGCGTACCATGCCTTGCGTAAAGAATAGAACGGGCGAAAAAACAAAAAAAAAAAATGTTCCTCTGCCTACTTTCTGCAGCGCCACTCTCTCGAGTTTAATCTGGGTGCGGATGTCTGTGAATGAATGTACTTGACCCAAGAAGTGATAGAATCCAGTATGTAGCTCATCTCCAAGAAGCCTCATCATAAAACAGCTCATGCCGCCCAGCTTCCGCGCGTAGACGGTAAACTCTATGTAGGCTGACTCGAACCTCGGCCATTGCAACTTGCGTGTTGATATAAGGCGAAGACTACCGTCCTTTTCTTGCCATAGCCTTGCCCTCCACCCAGCCAACAGCTTAGCCAATCAAGCCCCAAATCTAAACCCTGAGAGAATCCCACCCCGGCCCTAAGAAACCCAAAGCACTACCCACCCTTAAAATCAGTTTAGATTCCAAACCCTAAAACCCCTAGCCCCCGCTCCCGAAGAATCAGAGCAGTGCTAGCCATACCCCGAAAGACTACACCATGCTGCACCTGTCAGTTTTAAGGGGTCTGCACCAAGCACCTCAGTCAGAGGGTCCTGGCTGGCTCGAAATCCTAAACCCTAAGTCCTAAACCCCTAAATCCTCTCTCTCACACGTGCTCCAAACCCAAAATCCTAAATCCCGAAATCCTAAACCCTAAATCCTAACCCTGTCAAACCTAAACCCCTAAACCCTAAATCCTGAATCCTAAACGCTCAAACCTATACCCTACATGCTGAACCTTATCCGCGCCCAGGAGCTCCTCGGGATAAAGCTCCACATCTGGCCTGGGCTGGCGTTACTGGTTCCTTCTTGGGGTTTTAGGGGGTTTAAGGGTTTTAGGGCTGAAGGGTTTAAAGTGTTTTGAGGGTTTACGGCTCTAGGCTAGGGGAGTTTGTAAGAGATAGTGGGTGTTCGTTGCGTAATGAAGCTGAAGATAGCTTCCAGCCATGGCCCTGTCGTGTTGGTTCTTGTTAATCAAGACTTTCGGGCTTCAACACGCGCATCGCAATGCACGCCGCATTGCTTGGATTCCTGTAGGCCCCCACCGACGCCGATGCTGCGCATACACGTCATCTTCAGCTTACGAGAGTTTAGGTCTTAGGGTTCCATGCAAACAAAGAAGTTGGGGCATGGAGAAAAGTATATTCTATGCTAAATTCCTCGCTTCCAAAGTCCTGTGGTAAGGGCATGCTCATGTTCAAGCATTCAGGCTTCTAGTGGATGCTCGCTTGAAATTCTGCGTGTGCGATGCAATGGTTAGGGCACTGGGTGGCTTTGGGGCATCGGGCTTCAGCCTGATTGGTTTTCTATGTGGCACACTTTAGAATTTGGAAGTACTCCCTTTGCGCAGTTTCTTACCACCCCTATCCCTCTTGCTCTCAGAAATACCTTACATACTACGAGACCATGCGTATTGGGGGATACGGGATACATTTCATGTGAAGGGTGGGGGAGACCGTTGTGTTAAGGGTGGCGGATTGTAAGAGCATGTAGGCCAATGTCTGAGTCTCAGGGTTCTGGGGCTACAACCCTAAACCCTTAACCCGAAAACCTAAGCCCTACACCCTAAGCCCGTGTTTGGGTCAGTGGTTTTGGGGTTCGTCGGCCCGGCGTAAAACTACAACTTTTTTCCTCAAGGGGCTGAAGGCCCTACCGAGGCTGCCAGGCCCTATGGAATTTGGGTCCCTTTAAAGGGGTTCTAGGGAATTATGGGGCACCTTTAAACTTATTTTAAAGGGGAATTCAGGGTCTATATAAGGATATATAGGGTTTAGGGTCTAGGGTTTCCCAAACCTTTTCAGGGTCCCCATGATACTCAAAACTGAATAGTTCTAAGTTCTACGAAATGTCACGCCTTGAAGAACAATAGCTTTGAATCCTAAACCCTAAACCTCGCCTCCCTTTTGCAACAGGCTTCAGACCCGCCTAACCTCCCTGAACCCTGAACTCCTGAAGCACTACCACCTAAACCTGGACCCCAGAGAGCCCTGAATCTGGGCTGCCGTTAAGGAACTTAAGTTAAGCTACAATAAAAAGGAAACCCTATTACTTACTATAAGCCCATCTTGTGGTAACTTAAACCCTAAATAAATCCTATATGCCCATATTGTGGTAACTTAAACCCAGATTCTGGTAGCTTTAAGTTAAGCTCCTTAGTAACAGCAGCGCAGCAGAGAGCCTAGACCCCCAAACCCTCGAGCCCTAAACCCCCATAAACCCTAAATCCCTAAACCCTAGAAGCCCTTGGTCAAGCGACCAGATGTTGTCCTCGTTCCACGAGACGAACATCGCCTGGTTGAAAGCCAGAGCTGCTCACCCAGACCCCATAAAGGATTCAAGCAATGGGCTTAGGGTTTAGGGATCCCAAAATGGACCCCCCAAAATACGAACCCAGTACTACATTGGGGAAACTAAGGGATTGTTAGGGGATTTCATTTTTTGGAGCTAATAGGGGGTCGGGGTTAGGGTTTCAGGGTTAGGCTTGACGGCAATCCTACGAGTACCTTCCACAAACCACAACCCTTGACGATGTCCTGCCTTGCCCTCTTTGGTGTCTGTCTGGTAGCGCTTACCGCAGCCTCAGATATCCGCGGCAATAACATCAGAGTAGGCAGTAGTAGCAGGTACTCAAAAGACAGCCAAACTCAGCTAAACCCTAAACCCTAAACCCTGAACCCTAAACCCTAAACCCTGACAAACTCAGCACCAGCCCAACATTCAAAAGCACCACTGGGCCGGACCCTGCCTTTGCACCAGCTCCTAGCCCCTTGAGGCTTCCGAACGGAGTGCAAGAGCTATGAAACGTGCGGCGCTTGCCCTTGCAGTACCATAGCCCCGCTTAAGTAGATAGAATATGGGGTATATGGGGTTTCTAATATAATATACCCAAAGCCATATTTGATCTACCTAAGGGGTACCCAAAGCCATATTTGATCTACCTAAGAGGGACTATAGCTGTTACTAGCTAAGGATGACCTATAGCATCCCACAACCAGAGCAGAAGGAGCCCATCGTGCAACTGATGCCGAGCAACACTCCACCACCACAAACGGGTCACATGGCTGGCTATCTTCGGTCGTCAGATTTCTTGCCTGATTTTTAGGGTTTATAGGGCTTAGGGTCCAACAAGCCTTTTGGTGCACAGAGCCCCCTTACCCTGCCCTGAATCCCCCCCAACATCTTACTGTGCTTAACAGGACAGCTGAGGGATCCCAAGTGATTTATTAGGGTTATATTGGGGTTATATTCGGGTTGTATTAGGGTTATATTGGGGTTATATTGGGGTTATATTGGGGTTATATTAGGGTGATATTGGGGTTATATTGGGTTAAATTGGGGTTATATTACGGGTATATTAGGGTTATATTAGGGTTATATTAGGGGTATATTAGGGTTATATTAGGGATATATTAGGGTTATATTAGGGGTATATTAGGGTTATATTGGGGTTATATTAGGGTTATATTAGGGTTATGTTAGGGTTATATTAGGGGTTATATTAGGGGTTACATTGAGGTTATATAAGGGTTATATTGGGGTTATATTAGGGTTA